AACAATGAGGACAGCACAGTCAGCCTGAGATGTGCCTGTAATCATGTTTTTTATGAAGTCTCTGTGTCCTGGAGCATCGATGATAGTGATGTAGTATTTGCTGGTCTCAAATTTCCACAGGGAGATATCAATGGTGATGCCATGTTCACGCTCAGCTTTCAGCTTATCCAAGACCAAGGCATACTTGAAGGAGCCCTTTCCCATCTCAGCAGCTTCCTTCTCGAATTTCTCAATGGTTCTTTTGTCGATGCCACCACATTTGTAGATCAGGTGGCCGGTGGTGGTGGACTCGCCAGAATCAGCGTGTCCGATGACGACGATGTTGATGTGCATATTTTCCTTTCCCATTTTGGTCTTTAGGGGTGGCTTTCACGACACCTGTGCTCCGGCAGCAAACTTGTTACGAAAAATATTTGAGGTCTCAATGTCTTTTGGTTTCAACCTTGTGAGGTTGTGTGATGTCAGAAAGTCCTTCATTTCATTTAGGTTATCAAGTTTTTTTTCATACAGGATGCATAGTAATCTCTGATAAATCCTTTTTATTTCTTCAGGGTCTGTTTTGATCTTTTGCATTTCTGATTATTTATATGGGCTTTTTCTTGGTCATTCTGGCTAGGCAGTCCATCAATCTTGTTTATTTTTTCAAAGAACCAACTTTTTGTGTTGTTGATTTTTCTATGGTATTTTTGTCTTCCGTGTCCCATATTTGAGCTTTACTTTAGTGATCTGATTTCTTGTGCTGAAGTTAGGGTTTCAGTGGTCTTTTTTTCCCAGCTCCCTTAGGTGGTTTTTTAGGATGTTTACTTGTGATCACCCCTTTTTCTTGATGTGTGTTCATAGAAATAGAAATTTGCCTCTTAGAACTGATTTTATAGCATCCCGGAGGTTTTGGCAGGAGGTTTCTTTGTTTTCAGGAAACTTTTAGTCTCTGTTTTGATTTCTTTGTTGACCCAGTAGTCTTTCAGCATCATTCTATTTAGTCTCTGTGTCTTTCTGGGTTTTGGGGACTTTTGCTGTTGTTGATATTTATTTTAATTCCACTGTGGTCTGATAAGGTACATGGCAATATTTCATTCTTATGTAATTTGTTTATGCTTGATTTTTGGCTGAGGATGTGATTGATCTTGGAGTATGTTTCATGTGGTGATGAGTAGAATGCATTTTCTGTGGTTGCTGAGTGGAGTATTCTGTAGGTATCTAAGTGTAATATTTTATAGAACACTTCATGTACCTTTCTTTTCTTTTATAATTTTTTTTTAATTTTAAAGATGTGGTGTACAATTCAGGGTTAGGTATACAAATGTTCATCATCCAGGTACCCTTGTTGATGAAGTGTTTCTCCTTTCCAGTTTCCCTCTACCGCCAAACCCCCACCCCCACCCTGGCACTTTCCCACTACTGCCAGTCCCTTTCTTGTAGTATTATGATAATTGTTCAAGGTCTACTTAAGAGTAAGAACATATAATTGTCTGTTCTTTGCTTCTGTGATAGATAGATTACTGAGTCTGATAGTCTCTAAATCCATCCAAGTTGCTGTGAAGTCCATCTTTATGACTTCTTTATGGCTGCATAATATTACATTGTGTATATGTACCATATTTTTAAAAAATCCAATCCGGTTTTGATGGGCAACATGGTTGGATCCGTGTTTTTGCTATTGTGAATAGTGCTGCAATAAACATGTGTGTGCTGGTATCTTTTTTGTAGAATGATTTGAGTTTCTCTGGGTATATTCCCAGCAGGGGGATTGTTGGGTCATATGAAAGGTCAATTTCTAGTTTCTTCTTTTCAATTATATATTTCAATTGCTTATTATTGAAAACGTAATGGCTGGTGTGGAGTACCCTCCTAGAGGAATTATACCATCAATTTTAATCCCAAATTTGTGTTCTTTAATTTTTCTAATTTTTTAGTGAGAAATTCACCTTCAGATCACTGGAAGCAATTTTTGTAGGCAGGCAGGTAGACTCACTCAAAAGGGTATATAAAGGAAACTCTGAACTTGTAAGTGTATTTTTGCCTTCCAAGTGACTTTTCTTGTTGTTTTCAGAATAAAAAGAATAATTCAATCTTTCAACTTGTTTGTATGTATTTATGATACAGTGTGATGTTTCTATACATATGGACATTGTGTAGTGATCAAATTGTCTTTTGAGTGTTTGAAAGAGGAAGCCACCTTGTAATAGTCACAAGTCCCCAGGGAGAATAGAATGCTGGCAACTTGAGGTCTGAAATGCCTAAACAATAGAACAGATTCTGAGTCACTGTTCCTGAGGAAAGCTAGCAGTTCAAGCAGAGCTATGAGTGGAAATTAAAGACGGGCATAGCTAAAACCAAGTGTGAGGGGAGTCTTAATTTACCTGGGGCAAATGATTTATATCACTCAAAAAACCATGACTCTTGGGAAGCCCACTGCAAAGAGTGAGTGAACCAGTTTTGCCTGTCAGTCATATAGGAACAGCCCTACTAATACTGTGGATGGCAGGAAGGACCAGCAGTATGTAGTGAACCAGTCCTCTCTCCATAGAAACCACTCTGAATCCCCTTTTAAATGTACAATTCCCCAGGATTTCTGAAATATTTAGGATAGGGTATCTTAAGGAGATAGTGAATTTCTTGCTAACAAGGCACATGAATTATTGAGGAATAACTTGAAACAACAAGAGTTGAAATTTTACATGCACCTTGAGTTGTAGATCAATATATAAAACTGCATGACCTTATATAGTTTTAAAGGAAAATTAATGAACTGTACATCATAATATTAACACATTTCACTTATTTGCATATAACATTTCCATTCTACTTTTAGAAAAATACTTTTTTACATAGTTGAAAACAATTGAATGCTCAACAAGGCTACTAAATAGCTTGATTAATCCAAAAACTCTGATGGAGCTGAAAATCAAAAGGATGATTATTCTAATATTCTGAAATGTTTTAAGTTAAACCATGTAAATATACATATATTTATGAGTACTTTTATGTAGAGATAAAGATTTTACATTGAGTATTGGACAACTCGACTAGAGTTCTTCAGAATACCTCTAGCATAAGCCTACTCATAATGCATTACCCAAATTCTGGTGAATTTATATATAAGTAACAACTTAGAGACACCTACAAAATAATCCAAGTAAGTAAGACTTCTATATTTTTATAATTTTTTTTTTCTGGCTCATATTTAGTCTTTCTAAAACACTTACCTGGCTGTATTAAAAACAAATACAGTTTTTTTGCAATTATACTTTATCCGGTTACATATCTCAAAATTATATTTTAAAAGTAGAATAGAGCAATATATACAATTGTTATAGTTTTGAGAACACATCTGATCTGCAAAATTTGAAATATTTATACGTATATTTTTTCCTGTTTATATGCAAGTTTTACAGGCATACCAGTATTGATAACACAACTTTTTATTTGTGTGATTTAACATAATCTGAATAAGTCAGAGTTTTTATCCTAGTATAGTTTGGTTCTCTGGACAGAAAAAATAAATAGTTAACAGTAATTAACCGGGTGCAGTGGCTCACACCTGTAATCCCAGCACTTTGGGAGGCAGAGGTGAGAGGATTCCCTGAGCCTAGGGATTCGAGACCAGTCTGGACAACTTGGTGAGACCTCGTCCCTACAATAAATCAAGAAAAATTAGCCAGGCATGATGGCACATTCCTATAGTCCCAACTACTTGGAAGGCTGAGACAAAAGGATCACTTGAGTTCAGCAAGTTGAGGCTGTGGTGGCTGTGAGCATGCCACTGCACTCCAGCATGGGTGACAGTGAGACTTCCACTCAAAACCAAAACAAAACAGTAATTGATTCTCTCAACTAGAAGATTAGCAATGTACTAACTAGATAATTTGCATATTCTCTAAACAAACAAACAAAACAAGCAAGGGAAAAAAGAAAACAAACAAAAAATAAACCTCTGTTGTCTACATAAAAAATTTTAAGGCTCATCAGTTTCAATATTTTAAGATAACGTATCTCATATTACAAAGCTTTAAAATCAATTAGACTTTAAAATCAATTTAATCAGTGTCTACAATCTAAATATTATAATAAAATATTAAGTTGATAAAGTATTAGACTCTCACCATATTAAAGATAAGACAATTTATACCTCTTCACAGTACTGTTTCATGCGAACAGCAAGCATGAAGATGTCATTACTGGTTGTTTTAGTCAATTATTAATATAATTACATCATCTGAAAGACTTCAACATATAGCTATTAAGAGAGCAAAAACTACAGACAACATAATAGTATTTAATTTAAAATTAACATAATAAATATCTAGAATTAGGTTTTGAAAAATCAACAATTCTGGTAACGTTAACTAATGTTTTTGTCACTTGTAAAACCCAGTTCCTTAGTATTGAAATCTTGTTTTTCCTCTAAGACTCAGCTTAAATTTTCTCTCCCCTCTTTGTACTTATTCCAAATCTTTTTCTCTTTCAGAAGGAATAAATGATTGTTCCTTTGACTCTCATAAGCTTTTAAATATGTCCTTTTAACGGATATGATTATCTTGCATTATCACTTTTTTCGGTGTTCATCTTTTTACATACCCACCCCATGCCTACATAAACTATAAATTTATTCACTTTAATTATTTTTCTTTGCATGAGACCTGGTACATAGTGGCTTTAAATATCTCTGTCCTGAATAGAATGCTACCAGCCATTTCAGACCTTGTTATTTCTCTCCAACCAGAAAAGCAATTCCTGTTATGGCAATCATTTTGAGTTGTGTCTTTCCTCAAAAAACTCTTATGCTTTGCTCCTTTGCCAAATGTGAGTTATTTATTTATTTTTAAACCAGGCATTAAACAATGCAGTGTGTAGATTGACTTGCATTTTTTTCTGAAATGGTAGTCTGAGTCCTTAGAAAACTATTCAAGACATGTCTAGAACATCATCCAACTCAAAAGTCAGAGAATATTTAGTACTTTTGATTTCTTTCATGACTTTTCTAATTTTAATAATTTTTGTTAGCTCATCTTGATTGCCACAGGCATTCCCAGAACTCTTTTCAGAGCAGTTTTTACCTCCTGGTTCCTCAGACTGTAGACAAGAGGATTAAGTAGGGGAGTAACTACTGTATAGGTCACTGCCACCAGCTGATCCTTGTCTGAGGCAGATTTGGACTTAGGCCGAAGGTAGATGATAGATGCACAGCCATAGTGGACAAAGACCACTGTCAGGTGTGAGGCACAGGTGGCAAAGGCCTTTCTCTTGCCCTCAGTAGAAGGGATCTTCAGGATAGTGTTAACTATGAAGCCATAGGATATGAGAATTAGCAGAAAAGGCACCATGATTACCAAGATGCTAAGGCTGAGTAGAGCCAGTTCTTTCAAATGGGTGTCAGTGCAGGCTAACTTGATAACAGGTGCCATGTCACAAAAATAGTGGTTGACCCTATTGGGACCACAAAAAGGCATGTCACAGATGAGGTTGGTGGCCACCAAAGTAATGAAGAAACCTGTGACTCCTGACAGAGAAACCAACCCAAGCCCTAGCCTTTTGTTCATGATGAGTGTGTACCTCAGGGGGTGACAAATTGCTACATAGCTATCATATCCCATCATGGCAATGAGAAAGCAGTTGGTGCAAGCAAAGCCAAGGAAGAAGAAGAGCTGAGTGGCACAGGCCAGAAACGAGATGATCTTGGTGTTTGAGAGCAGGTGGACCAGCAGTTGAGGGATGATGACAAAAGTGTAGCAGGACTCAGCAAATGAAAGTATAAACAGGAAAACGTACATAGGAGTATGTAGAGTCTGGCTGAAGCAGATGACAGCCATGATTGTCACGTTGGCCACCAGAATCGTCAAGTACAGGAGAAAGAAGATGACAAAAAGCAGCAGCTGGAGCTCCCCCAGGCTGGAGAAGCCCACCAGGATGAACTGTGTAACTCCAGTGGTTTTGTTGAAACCTCTCATTTGGATAATTTCTATGAAAGAGTTTGAGAGAGATGGAATGATAATTCATTGTAGAAAACAATATTTTCTCAATGTCTTCACTTAAAGCATATTGTCAAACTCATGATATTAACATCTCTACATCTCAGTCTATCTAGATATAGTTCGTTCCTTTGATGACTTTTGCAGGAAATTATTAATCTGCAATAATGGGAAATAATTACCTATAGTATAGAAATACTTAAAAGTTAAGTTAAAATATTTTCAAAAACTTGTTAATAAAATGAGAAAATTCTCTGTTTAAGAAGAACATTACCTTTAATATGAAAAGAAAATTTAAATTATTTTATTTTACTATATGTATTATCTCTTTGCATGTACTCGTAGGTTGGTTTTTTTCTCTAATATCTCAACCCATTTAATTAGCATTATTGTAAAGGCATTAAAGCATTGTGCCTCAGAGCATGAACTCAGGAAGTAGAATGCTAGAGTTTTAATTTTGCCTGTGCCACTAAGAGCTATCAACTTTAGTGTGATTCAGTTTTTTTATTTGTAAAACATAAATAATAATAGAGCATATAATATAGGATTGTTATAAGAATTAAATTAAATGACAAATAAAATACTTGAGACAGCACTTAACATATAGTAACTGCAGTCCATGTGTTAGCTGCTTTTGCTTTTGTCAACTGCCCGTGGTCACAGGAGTTGAGAAATAAATATCCTGGTTTGCTACCTGAGTCCTAGAAGAGCCTGGACCTCTGAATTAGAACAGTTTCTTTGCATTTGACTCATGTGTTCTTACCCTTGAAGTTCTTTTTGTTTTTTAATTAATTGACCAAAGAGATGTAAATATGTATAGTTAAGTAATAGACTGTCATTTTCATACCTTTAAAAATTGGTTTACTTTTTAAGTTTTATTTTTATTGACAAAATAATTGTACATATTTGTGTGGTATAAGTGATGTTTTGATACATGTATACGTTGTGGAATGATCAAATCATTAATGAATCTACACTTTGGTTTTTATCTAAGGCATCTCTTACCTTGGGGTTCTCTTTCATGATTCTAATTCAGTTGCTTTGTATGTTTAAGAAATTGGGAAGGGGCACAAGATTAAACCTGGATCACAAGGCTGTGGCATTTCTGCCTATGAAACAAAATAGATTGATGAACCCCTGCAATAGGGGTGGAGCAGGAAGACCTAGGTTAACACAATAGAAGAAAGAAGAGGAAATAACACAAATGTGTCTTGTATCTCTGCAGGTAAAATAGCTAGAAAGTATTACGGTAAAGGGAGAGAGAAGAAACTCTTAAGAGCTTCAAACTGTTGTATCGTCTACCATCCCTCCTCCCAGAAGTAATCATTTTACTTTCAGAATCAGATTCAGAGATTCAGAAGAAACCCGGGATAATATATGCAACACTTAGCATCTCCCAACTTCTTGGCTACTTTAATGGTAATAATGTCTACATAAGGAGTTGGCTTGACATGGCACACTTGCGTTTGTTCACTATTCATCATTTTGCTGTGGTTTTATTTATTTAGGTAATTCCATACACCTGCTACAATAGCCTTTTCCTTTGTATCAGATTTTGCAGAAAACAAGATGCTTTCATGTAAGCTATCTCATTTTGACCCTAAAATCCTATGTCTTTGCCTCACAGGTAAGGCAAGTGCACTAAGTATTCTCTCCTGGGCAGAGTAACCTGTAAGCATCCTTCTCATTGCATTTAGCATGTTGAATTGAACTCATTTTTAAAAATACACATTTGTCTCACTCTACAGATTGATTATAAGCTTCTTAGGGCCAGGAGCAATGTGTTTTATTAATAGTTGAATTCCTAGCCTATAACATAGTTTATAGTTTATCATGTGATTTTGACCTGATGCAAATCTAAAAACCAATATGCTCAAGTGGTAGAGTTAGTACCAGAATTTGTCTTCTACTAATCACTAATAACTTCTAATCCATTTTCCCTTTGGCACATTTTATGGCACTCATTCTTTATCTTGTAAGAAGATTATCTGCCCATATGCTTTTTCCCGAGAGATTAAAACAGTTCCACACTGCTTTTGAAAGAATTCTGACATCCGGGTCTGGAGCGCGGCCGCCGCTGTCAGTGTTGGTGCGGGCGCGTCGGGGCCGGGCCGGGGCGCTGCAAATGGCGGCGCAGGAAGGCGGAGCGGCGGCCACGCTCGGCCCAGAGTCCCCGAAACTTTAGACTCGAAGCCCCACAACTTTCCGGGAAGTGCTGCCGCTCCGGAGGCGTGAACGGAAAGGGAAGCCGAGGCGGGAAGTCTGGGGGAAGCGGCGGGGCGCCGGGGAGACTCGAACCCGCGGCGGGGGCGGG